GAAGAAGAAGAAGAAGAAGAAGAAGAAGAAGAAGAAGATGATGATGATGATGATGAAGATGATGAAGGGCAGTGTGCCTTGAGGACCAGGGTTGGAAACCACTGAGCTACAGTATTTAAAACTCACCAAGAACAGTTAAAATACTTTTACTAAGATAAATGTACCACATTTATGAACATTTTAAATTAAGTTGAATTATTTTGCAGCCAGAATATTATTTTTGTTTTATTTCGGTCTTTTCACATTTCACCCGTACCTCTGGTTGCAGAGGTTAGTTTTCACAGCCAACATGAGAACAAGACTCGACATGTTTGAACTCATTTTTATTCAGTTTGAAGATGTAAAAAGTGAACCGTGTGGATCCTCCTCACAGCTGCAGAGCACAGATTAAAGCAGGATCGGTTCGATCTGCATGTTGTGTCCGACCACACCGCCTCCTGTTGTACAGTGTGAGTGCAGTTCATGGAGCTCTGCAGAAACACCTTAAACACAATAAAAATAAACATTTCTTCACAAATAAAAGAATCCCAGAAGTTTCACAGCAAACATCTAATCAATCATTTCACAAAAAGCCCCAAAAACAAGTTTAAAGTGTTTCAGCATCAAGAGGTTTTAGTGCAAACAGATCAAGGTTTGAGGCAGAGGTTCAGCCTGCTGGTACCGGCTCAGCAGAACCTCACACAACATCTGCAGGTCCGCTTCAGTCAGGACTGATCTGGAGCAGTTCCAGCAGGACAGACTCTGCTGCCCCCTGCTGGTTCTGTTCTGGAGCTCAAACTGGGTTTAGGTCCTGCACAGGACAAAAACTGAACCATTTGTTTCCCTTAAAGTTCTGCTTAGTGTCTTCTTCCAACTCTGGAGACTGAAGCTTGTCTGATCCTGACAGGAAGGAGACATTCTGGAGACAGGTAGGAGACAGGATGGAGACAGGTAGGAGACAGTTAGGAGACGGGTAGGAGACAGTTAGGAGACATCTAGGAGACAGGTAGGAGACATGTAGGAGACAGTTAGGAGACATCCAGGAGACAGGTAGGAGACAGGATGGAGACGGGTAGGAGACAGTTAGGAGACATCCAGGAGACAGGAAGGAGACATTCTGGAGACAGGTAGGAGACATCCAGGAGATAGGTAGGAGACAGGCAGGAGACATCCAGGAGACAGGTAGGAGACAGGCAGGAGACAGGTAGGAGACATGTAGGAGACAGACAGGAGTCATCCAGGAGACAGGTAGGAGACATCCAGGAGACAGGTAGGAGACATCCAGGAGACAGGTAGGAGACATTCTGGAGACAGGCAGGAGACATCCAGGAGACATGTAGG